AGGGAAACCTGTTCTGAAGTTGTGAGGGGTGTATATATATCACATCTCGATGATCCATCTACAAATTTCCGATTTACTGAATTGTGCAAAGGCAGTAAAAATACACGAAACCTCCAATATTTAAGAGCCTGTAAATTTTTAATTGCAATATGTAAACATTATATCTTCAGCGTCATTATTATTATCATATGCATCAATATATACCTCCACTAAAGCGAAATCAGTGTGACCTCTCGTACATATATAATGATCTAAATAATTCCAATTATAATTTTCTAATTTTTCTGTTGTAAAAGACACCCACGATACTTCATATGTGTCATGATGCGGTGCATGAAAACGATAACGGTAATGAATGTTAAATGGTGGGTAAGGATGCCTATAAAAACGAATACTGAACATAGTGTTTTGTTCATTTCTTGCGAACTAAATCACATAATTAAATTATTTACCTTGGTCGATATCTTGTAACCGTTATACTGTTATCGAATAAGGATATCTTATGGAAAATTCTACCGATACTTAATAAATACTCTTCTTTGGGCTCTGATTCTGTTTGCCGACCACGCATCACAGAACTTATTGCTGGGACTGCACTACCAGGTGTATTACTTTGATTTTTATTATTTGTAGGTAAAATGATCAATTGAAAACCCTTGAGTAAAAAGTTTGTATATATATGTTTATAAAAGAATTTGTTTTGCGAGTACCAATAAAATTATTAGAATAAATACCTGTGCTAGCCGTTGTGACACAAGCTCTTTAAACACTTCTGCAGTTGTTAAAGGTTTCTTATATATCGCTCGTTGTTGAGCAAAATCTGTATTTACATCATCCGGTAAAAGATTATAATCCGAAACGACATAATCATTTTGCAAACTCCTTTTGTCTGGGAAATAATCTGTAGTTATAGGTAAACATGCTGGAATTGTTAGCGATTTCCAATCGACACCTAAAATATGAAGCATAAAATACAAATGAAAACACACGTTTCGAGTTAGTAGAGAAAGTAGAAAATTGATATAATGCTTGGTGTTAATTTTATATGTAAATAAATATTATAAGTAATCACTTGTAATATTTAATAATAACATACATGTGTATCAAAATAGTTTCATTAGTGCAATATTAAAAGTGCTACTAATATGACCATTACTGATTACTTAAACATGCAATGCAAAATATATTAATTGTAATATATTTCAATAGATCTTCAACATAATGGAGAACACAGACTCATACTATGAAGCACAAAAAACTGTGTAGAACTTACAATTATGGTACTGAAATATGTACAGATTTATGCATAGTTGGTGCAACCAAATTACTTTATAGTCTATAAGATGAAGGAGCATGTGCTAAGCTAATACAAAAAAGTAGATTACTATGTATTAGTCTTAAATGCTACAAGGTATTATATACTACGAAATTGTATTATTTTTGACAAAGGAATATAGGAATTAAAGCTGTATGATAAAGTGAAAGGAGTATAAAGCAGATGAAAGAATGTTTGAAGAATGCAAGATCTACAATAGAAACGATTTTGTGAGAAACAAATGATAATTTCAAACAGTGTGAAGGTAGAAAATAACGAAAATTTCTAAGTAGGTGTATACATAATAATAATAATAATGATAAATGATATTATTATATATTACAGTATTCAATAGACTACGTGTAGAAATTACTTTAAAATTAGAACTCTTTGTGATTGGTAAAGAATATACATGCACAGAAGAATCATAAGAACTTGAGCAATAAAGAACAAAAACACCTATAACTTTAATGCCCTAAAAGTAAATGTGTACCATAACCGAATCAACCCCCAATAACGTATGGGCGCTAACCTATGATTGCTGTTTAATGTGACATCATAGTTGTACATCACACACGCGTCAATGCATCCAGCGTTGCATCCCAATAAGACGTACCATAGCATGGAAATAAATTTAACAATATTATTCATATAAATGATCGATAAAGTTGAAAAATAAATATGATTATATCTAAGAATGAAAATACTTCTTATGCATGATGGTTATGAAATTATGTACCAAAACTTTTATTGAATGTACATGAAAAGAATTTTTTTTTAAGTATACACCAACTATTTTCATTCTTTAAAAAAAATGATAGATCATTGCAACATTAGTTAATCCTTTTAAATATTAATTAATTAAGTAGGAAACTTAAGAGCTGATATTTTTCTAAATTAATGGACTTATTAATTTATCTTCTAAAATACAATTAATATTATGCATTGTAAATATTCAGTGCTTGTTTAATTAAAAACAATTTCAAAATTCTTTCTTCAAACTATAAACTCATTTCATGATAACTTGTGAATAATAACATGACTAGTATTGTTATTTGGATGAATTATATATATATATATATATATATATATA